AAGGTTGTCTTATACTGATCATCAGGATGTACCTCTATCTGATGGTATCCGGACTTTAAGTCTATCTTAGAGAAGTACTTGGCCCCTTGCACTCGATCCAAAAGATCGTCTATCCTAGGCAGTGGCTCAGCATTCTTTACTGTAATAGCATTCAGACCCCTATAGTCTATACACATCCTCAACTCTCCCTCTTTCTTAGGGACAAAGAGAACAGGGGCTCCAAAAGGAGACGAACTGGGCCTAATCCACCCCTTTTCGAGGAGCTCGTCCAATTGCTTCCATAGCTCCTCTAACTCCCGCGGGGACATCCTATATACAACACCCTTAGGAGTTCTACTGCCAGGCTCTATCTCAATACGGTGCTGGATAGGCCGCGGCACCGTGCCTGTCGGCGGCTTAGTTAAATCCTTAAACTCTTCTAGCAATTTGGCAATAGTAGGGTCTACGGGCTTCTCCTCTATAGGCTCAGTCACTGGCCTAACATAGGCAACAAAGACCTGTTCCTCCAATCCCTCCTTCTTCACCATTCTGGCGAACGCGGGGGCACTAAGACAGCAGTGCGCCAAGGAATTCTCTACCCCTGACGCATGAAACAGGCGGGTAGTCTTGGCCTCGCCTGACGAACTAGGGAGCCTACACTCGTGCTCCTTCAAATGGAGCGTGGCCCCGGCTGCCTCTCCCCAATCCATTCCCAGAACAATGTCGAATGGGAGGCTGTCTTCTACGAGGAGATTCAGGGAGTGGAGAACCTTCTCCACTTTCCTATCCTTCTCTAGGCGGAAATACGMCTGGACTCCCTCTACATACTCCTCTACAACCATAGTACGATTGTCTGCGAGGATACTAACTATGGGATCTGCTAGCTTTTGGACTTTAAGCCCTAGCTTCAACTTCTGCAGCGTCTTCCTACTAATATAGCTGCGGGTAGCCCCTGAATCTACTAGGGCCCCTACTCTACCTCTAAAAATCTCTACATCTACCAGAATTAGTTGTCCTTTCTGTTCTTTCTTCATCTTGGCCCAGGCGGGAATCCTCTCCTTCAATTCTTCGGCCACGCCTGTGAGGGAGGTGTCTAAAGAGACCCTGACACAAGCAGTCTCTGGACAGCTGTCTAGACAACGGCCTGCAACCTCTGCCATAGGCACATGTGGTGTGGGAGTCTCCTGCCGGCTAGCGCTATGTTCCCCACATGGCCTAATGGTAGGGGCAGTTGCTACCCYTACCGGCGGCTGCCTTTTGGCCCTGGGGCAGTCGTTCGGGTCTCTCTATACTTAAAACAATATTTGATGATATGGGCCGGGTCACCGCAGAAAATGCACTGGCCCCGGTCCAATCGTTGTTGCCGTAAAGCCTGGTCCAGACCCAAAGATTCCCAAGGCCTACCCTRAGGTAGCCCTGGGTGCCATCCTCCTATTCTATAGGGAGCCCTCCTCCAAGGACGGTTTTGCGGGGGACCTTGACCCCTGCCTCCCGCTTGGCGGTTTCCTCCTCTGCCGCCAACCCCCTGATCGCCCTGAAATCGACTCCCTGAGGCCCGGCCCCCTTGGCCCTGGCCTCTTCCTTCTTGCGGCCTCCCTCCAGCCGCGACAGCAGCGTAAGATCTCCCTTGGCCCACACCGCTGTCCGCCTCCTCTAATCCCCACTCAATCTGGTCGTAGGGAATCTCATCCACACTACCCTCATCTAAAGTCAGGACAAGGATATCCTTGGTCTTTACCTGCCCTGAGATAGTGCGGCCTTTCCATTGCTTACCCCTGTCCAAGTCTTTGTGCCAGAAGGTAGACACGGACACTGACTTTGCTTCAAAAGCCACCACCTCGCGACTAAGGGAATCGTAAGTGGTGGCAGGGTCTTCGCTCTTCGCGAAGAACTGCCTTCGAAAGGCTTCGGGCATAGCCCAGTAAAAGAGGTTGATTAACTGGCCCTCTGTGACCCCATGGTCAGGAACGGCTACCAACTCATCCATTGTACCCTTGAGTGCCCTGGCGCTCTTCCATTTACGGGAATGGATTGTTTGGAGCTTGTCTGAGGCCCTGACACTGCGAGCGACATCAGCAAATCGCTCGCGCAGCAATTTCAGAAATTCGGTGAGGGATGTAAATGAGGAGTACGCAACGGGATCATCACTACAGTTGGCAGCGCGAACTAGGGACCTTGCAAAACTGGCGGCCTCTTCTCTCAGCGCGTGGATAGCAATTAGGACTTGCTGATCTACGGAGACCTAATGCAAATGCACATAGGTCTTAACATTGGCCTCCCAATTATCAAAGTTTTCTTCCCTCCTCCCGCTGTAGGAATCGGGGAACTTGACTTTGACAGGCTCCCGGCGAGAAGGACGTGCTTCCTCCTCCTTGGGAGCTGCCGCCTTGACGCCTTCAATGGCGCTGGCGCAAAACCGCTCAGTCTTGTCGAGGCGGTGACCCACCTCGACTCCAACGGCGCCTACCAGCTCACGAGCAAAGTCTCGAAAGCCCAATCGTATCGAGCGCACAGCTATGTCCTAACTTCTACTAAAGTCATATTGGTCTGCCTGAACCCATGCCAGGCATGCGACGCTCCAAGCTATGACTCGCATCTCATTCGGGAGATCGGGCTGGGCGGCTAATTGCGCCTCTGTGTTCTTCACCTCTTCTAAGGCCTCCGCCGCCTCCGCTGCCTTGTCAATTGTCCTCTTCTTCTCCCTCATCACCGCTAATTTCCATTCCATCTTCTTCTCGTCTTCCAACGCTTGACGTTTAAGAGGGTCTTTCTCTGCCTCCCAAGCCTTCATGGCAACTTCTTGCTGATCCTGCGGGATGTACATACTAACCTCTTCCTCTTCTCCCACAGTCAGGTTGGCAACCCATTCAGATATCCTTTTCTCTAGGTTTCCACCGGTATTACTACTGGGCTGCTCACTACTCCTTTGCAGTGGCGGTCCTTCCTCTTCTTCATCCACCTCCTTTAGCTTCTCTTCTTCTTCCTTTTTCAACCTCTCTGTCTCTCTGGCCATTTCTTCTTCCATCTTCTTCAGTTTGGCCGCCTGCTCCTCCTTCAAGGCCCTCTTCTTGGCCTCCTTCTTCTCCTTCTTCTCCTGTAGAAGGGCGACCATCTTCTCCTCCTCCTCCTTTGTGTAGGGGGTGGTGGAAGTCCCACCGCGTGGGCCCTACTCTACACGTGAAAGTGGGCCAAAAGTCCAGAGGAAAGAGGAGACGCCAGAGGGTCCCCCAGAGGGAGAACCCAACAAGTACCCCATACATCAGATAGTTATGTATCGTGGTGTTGGTGCACGACAGGGGTCCCACTCCTGACCACGTAGACCTACCGGGATACACTGACCTACTGACTGACTCCCTGAAGTCCACAGGCAACTAACCCAAGACTACTCTAAGGCTGTCACTACATAACCAAAAGCTGATTAGGAGGTATTTTAGAAGATACCCCAACTTCGCAAGAATTCTTTAACGTCGCAGACAGGACGACGCGATCAGCTTGGTTCCTCYGGCGATTTCAGYYCACAMCYCAGCCCGTCCAGCCTACTGTGCCACACCGAGCAGCCCGCCGGTCTGTACCGGTCCTTGGAGGGGTTCGTATCCCTCGGGACAGTCGAGTCGTCAGACACAGATCATCAGCCTTACAAGGTCCGGTAGGGGAGTGGCTCGACCAGGCCTCAATACTTAAAGACGGCCCTCGTTTCAGCCCACAGCTCGGAGTTCAGACCCTCTACACTGAACTCAGTAGACCTGCCGGACAGTACCGGTCATTGGGCTAGACGAGTTGTTTAACGAGCGCTCGCCGCTCATGCCCAGGTCTCCAAGTGCCAGAGTAGAGCTTTGGTCCTACTAAGCTCGTGTGGGTTTGGCAGCAAGGCCCTATTCTTCATACACAGAGTCCTAGCACCTAAGACAGAGGAGACTCAATGCAAAAAGAGTAGACAGACAACTCAGCAAGTACCGTGGGGTAAGTGCACATCCACAGGGTAAGGGGATAGGCTAAGGGCTCAGCGAGATATCACCAATTCCAGCTTGGTCAAAATCTTGGTCAGCAGCAACGCTTGGTCAACGCCTTGGTCAACGCCTGGTCAACGCGGACAACCCCGAGTTAACACTTGGTCAACACCCTCGGTCAACGCCTAGTCAACCCTCTGGTCAACCCTTGGTCAACGCTCTGGTCAACGCACGGTCAACCCTCAACCTCGGCTATGGCTGCCGGCACTATCACCTTTGTCACCCTCGCCGTCTTCTTCCCCTTCCTTCACTTTCTTCCTTTTTTTTTTTTTTTTTTTTTCACCCCCGGCTATGTCTGTCTTTCTTCTTCAATCTCCTCCTTCCACTCTCCTTCTTTTCTCTCCTTCGGTACTCTGTGTCAATGCTCCGTGGCTATGGCCGCCGTCTTCCTTCACCACCGGACTCCGCCGTCTCGCCTTATAGGTAAGTGACAACCAATCTTGGATC